CCTGGCTGGCAGCTGGAGCATGGCTCTGGCAGGCCAGGCTTTGGTTTTGGGCAGCACATGCTGCCACCACATGTGCCACCCCACTTTTTTAAGGCACAGGTTTTTTTGACCCTGGGCTATCCCAGGGTCTACCCTCCTCTCCCCCACACCCGCCCCTCACCCCCACTTGCTGCAAGGTAGCTGTATGGGGAACTCCTGCATGTGTGGTGTGTGGCACTGCAGATGGGTCTGTGGTGCCACATACTGCATGTCCACGCTTGTCTGGACGCGGCCTGTGAGATTAACTCAGCTGGAGAAAGCACTCTGTGGGTAAGCTGGAAAGAGGCTTCATCACAAATGTCTGGCAAGGTGCAGAGAAAGAAATGTGTACTCGTAGTATGTCCAGCCTTAGGCTTTGACTACCCCTTGGGAAATCATTCACATTTGAAAGCATGCTTTTGCCTAACACATTATTAGACATTGCTTATGTAGTGCAGACAAAGACAGTCATGTTCAGAAATAGACTTGCTGTCTATACATACCAAGTGTTAAATATGCTTCACTGTCATCTGAGCACAGCAAACTAATGCAACACATTTGAAGAGATTTTCACTAGTGCAGATACATTTGTGTAATTATTGCAGTCTGAAAATGCAACAATTTTGAAATCATTCGAGTTGCATCTACTTATTTTGGGTATCAATTTGGCCTATTTTGTTAAACTGAAGACACAGTTACATACTTGCTATGATCAATCTCTTTCACCTGCGGATGTTAAAGCACTTTACAGATGTTAAAGAATGAAGCTCAGCAGTGTTCCTGTGAGGTTCATACTGTTGCTCAATGGCAAATGAAGCATGTAGCAAAGCGACTCACCCAAGGTTATGAAATAAGTTAGTGGCAGAATCAGGAATGGAATCCACATCTCCCTTCCATTAACATCTACACAACAGGATCATGTCAATTTTATTGCATAATATCCCCTTCCTTTTTTCTTTAAAACAAGCAACTCACATCATGTGAGTGCGCTAATGACTTAGCAGTGTGATGGATTTTGAGGCATTCATAGTTTCATAGTTTCATAGTTTTAGGGTCGGAAGGGACCTAATAGATCTTCTAGCCCGACCCCCCGCCAGGGCGGGAGAACAACAAAAAACCCTAAAAACAAAAACGGGACTCAAATGAGTCCAGCCAGGTAGGCATCCAGCCTCTTCTTAAAGACCCCCAGGGTAGGGGCCAGCACCACCTCCCTTGGAAGTTGGTTCCAGCTCCTAGCCGCCCTAACTGTGAAGTAGTTTTTTCGGATGTCCAATCTGTACCTCCTCTCCATCAACTTGTGCCCATTACTCCTTGTTATGCCAGCGGGGGCTAGGGGAAACAGCGTCTCCCCCAAACCCTTCTGGTTCCCCCTAGTGAGTTTATAGACGGTCACCAGGTCCTTTCCCTGGTGAAAGGGACATTACCTGTCCCTTTCTGCTATATCCACAATACATAACTTTTAACTTTCATTTCACTGTTGAGCAATGAATTCACAGCAAATCCCCATTCACAGGCCCTGATCCTGCAGTCAATAAATGCAATGCTCCCCATTGGTGGGAAGAGTTAATGTTTCCATGTGGGCTCCTGCAGGCCAAAGAAACAGACTTGGATACCTCCTTCCATGTTTGCAAGTGTAAATTCTCACCTTTAAATTTGTGTAAACAATCTCCATTCCTTTAAATTAGCTTGGGCCCTTTACCAGGTATCTGAGCTTCTTCTCATTTTTCAGGTAAGTTTAATTCCCAGTGGAGTAACTCCTGATTTACACCAGTATAGGTGAAAACACATTATTATTTAGATTACAGTAGACTCCAGAGGCTCCAATGGAAATCAAGGCCACAATGCAGTTGCACACATACATCATGTGAGATGGTCCATGCACACATACATCATGTGAGACTGTCCTTAGGATCACAGCACAGGAAGTGTCTAAATCTCTTAGGCCACTGAGTCCAGAATTGCGTTATTGCAGGCAACTTTGTCATCTAATCTCTTGGATAAGGGATGATCAAGGATCTCCCAAAACTAATTAGGGTTTTGTCCCCACTACTTCTCATTGCTCTGAAGGATAGGGACTTTCCTCTAATATACAGTCTCAATATATTTGTGGACAGATTATACCAGTGGTGCTCAGCCTGTGGCTTGCAGGCTGGATCCAGCCCATGGAACCATGTCAGCCACCCTGTGGTGCTGGAAAGTTGGCAACAGAGGAGTAATTAACATTGCCACTGCCCCTCCCACTACCAAATTTCTGGACTTGTGGGGAGTCCAGATGACATGGCTCTTTGTACCAGATTGTGCCAGTTCATAGTCACTCCATGGCTGGATCTAGTAATCAGGGTTGGTTGGTATGTGCGGCTGTGCTGCAGCTAGATCCAGCATGTAGGGTCATGCTGTCATGCTGGATGGCATGCACAGATTGGCTCTGCTTGCCCATCCTGGGGTGGATTAGGCCTGTGATGGACCCTGCATGCAGGGTCCTGCCCAAGGACTGGCAGCAGGGGAATGTAGAGGTTAAGAACCACTGTTTTATACCATAGTTTCTCAACCTGTGGTACACGTACCCCTGGGGGTACGTGAGACAGGCACGGGGCACATGGGTACCCTAACACTCTCTCTCTCTCGCCCTCTTTTCTTCTCAAAACTATGGCAAAACATTTTGTGCACCACACATTGCGCAGTGCTTTAAATTCCCCAGTAATAATTTGGTGTGCCATGCTTTGTGCGGCACTGGGTTCAGCCCTCCTAGCTTTGGGCAACATCACCTCTAGCCCAGGTACATACTTGAGTTGTGCACCCCTGGTGTAAAAGGTGGCAACTCTATCCACACCAGATCAGACATCTGTCATATCACGGCCTTATATATGCAGTCCTTCTTCCAACATATGGCATACATTAGTCTGTAAATATAAAATCCCCTGAAAAATTGAGTGTTGGGGTACTTATTAACATTTTCAGAACTGAGAAGGTACTTGCTACTTAAAAGGTTGAGAAACACTGGTTTATACTGATTTGTTCTTGAGCTAACCCCCAAATGGATCTATGGACAACAATCCCATTCTCTCTCAGCCTTCATTTTCTAAGTTAAAAAAACCCATTATTTTAGGACACATCTATACCATCTCCGGAAACACTGCTATGAAGCAATACCTGCCCGCTTGCTCTTGCTTAAAGGACAATGTCTGTGGCCCTTTGAAGTAGAAGCTAAATAGATTAAAAAAAACTAATTGGATTAAAGCAACCCTTTTGGAAGCAGATATACTTTTACCCTAGCTAAGCAGTATCCTGCTTTGGGTTTTTATCACTTCCCAGCACCTGCTAGCTAGGAGCATGACACTCCAGAGATTATTCTCAGCAAGTGCCAGAAGAGAGCACTTCTCCCTCCTCCATTCCCCTACACAAACCCCAATATAGAATGACAGAGGGCTGCTGCCGTTTAAATTACATGCTCTCAGCCTCTTTTGAAGGACAGTTCCTGCTCAGAGCACCATCCAGCCAACTCCCCTCCTGCAAAACTTATTATCATGGAGTATATGGGAGCACATTTAGCTTTTAAGTCACGCTGGCACAAGACAGATGAAGAACTCTGTCGACACAGCATGTCTTTTATCTTGCACAAGGCTATTCAGATTGACTTCTTCCAGAGTTACCTCTATCTGCTGGAGAAGCTTTCCCTGGGTGAGTAACATGAGTGTGCATGTCCAGTTCTGAAGGCATTGTGCAAGATGCCAGAATACAAACAAATTATAGTAAATAATTGCTTTGTGAAGTCCTATCAGAGATACTGAAGAGCTATATAAATCCCAGTCAGTTTTATTCTTCAGCATCCATTGACGTGGCACAGTTTATTATACATTAGTGCCATAATGGCAGCACAGAGTGGTCAGATGGATGGAGGAGATAAATTTAGGTTTCAGGTGCTACCTTTTTTTGCTACCCTTAAAAATGTATTGAGCTGCTAGGAGTTCAATGGTGAACAGCTGTATTAGGAGCATGAGGCCTTGCTTTCTGGTTCTCTGATGTCCCGATTTGTTGTCTTTCAATAAATCAATAGCTTGTACATAAGTGATTCTTCTGAGGGTGCAAAAGTGCTGAAGAAAGATGCAGGTAATTTTTTCACCTACATTCTGTAATCACAAATCTCTTCAGTAAGTCACGTAGTACAGTTATTGACTTAATCTGAAAATACTTATGAAAGTGTTCATTTGTGGCCAAATTCCAGTGGGGAGCTGCTGGATACTGAGTCATGTAGGCAGAGAAATAGGATTTAAAGGCCTATTGAAAACGTGGTCCTGACTTCTCACAAGCCACAAATCTTCCCAGAACAAAACATCAAAAAGAAACCAGGTATTGTTTTGGACAGTCACTTTCCTGATTGCATTCTGCTGAGTATACTGAATGTTAGAACCATAGGACCTAGAGATGGAAAGAAACTGTTAGGTCACATCTTGTCTGCCATGCTGGCCAGATTGTTCAATACAGGATAATTTTGAAGGCTTTGTTCACATTCAGAGAAACTTTTAGGGCAGTAGATCACATTAGCAATTGCCATTGGTACCAGTGCAAATTTTGCTGAAGATCCAGGGATTTAAACATCTCTTACAGAATGGAACAAATTTTGTGCTTTGCAGCATTTCTATAAAAATGCAAAGAAAATTTGACGCTATCTGAAGGCTACCATGGAAGGTAAATTCTCTCCAACCCAGTTACTGAGAAAAGGGGGTCAAAAGAAGGAAAGAAAGAAAGATTTTCTTAGTTATTGACTTCCATAATCCCCAGAAGTTCATGAAAATGTTAGCACCTTAGTTTTAAGGCTCAACAAGGCTTTTAGGATTATCTTGTCTGACCTCTTGCATAACACAGGGCAGAGAATTCCACAAGTTGCTGCATCAAGCCTGTAACTTGGGGTCAGACAACAATGTATCTTTGGACAGGCAAAAGTGTATCAAATCCTGATGTAAGAGCTCCAAATGACTATGAATCCACCAGGCTGAGTGTCTCAAACAACAACATGGTAAGTTGTTCCAAGGGTTCACCCACTATCTCTGTTAAAAAACTGTCTTAAGGGTATTTTTGGTCCAAATCTATCCAAGCTTTAACTTCTAGGCACTGGGTCTTGTTATGTCTTGGTCTGATAGCTAGCTTGACCTCGCCTACATACTTAAAGGCTATAAACAAGTTATGTCTTTTTTCTTTTACATCTTATTCTCTCATTCTCAGGCAGATCCTGAATCATTCCTTCTCTACAACCTTTGCACTGCATGAGTGTCTTGTCAGCATGTCCAGTTTAGTAACTGCCCCTTGTTATGGTCTCTTATGTGTGGGGAGAAAGGGCAGTGATGTCAGTAAAATGGGGCAAGTCTAAATGTCCAGACAGCATTATCATTTCAAGTTTGGTTTCACTGGTGACACATAGGGGCACCCCCTGAGATTGGCGGTACACCCCCTGCAAAAAGTGCCTCTGGCACTGCTGGCGGCACCTATGGGCAGTCACTGCTTGCCACCCCCCTCTTGCGCCGACACCGCCTTGATCACCACTGGCCGCCACTGCCACTGACGGCGGCGTCTGTGGGTGGTTTTCAACCTCTGGTCGGTGCTTGCCACCCCTGCCCCTCCCACCCACCACTGACAGTGCTGAGGCTGCCTATGGGAACTCACCTCTCGCTGCTGCCATGTTCCCACTGCCAACAGCATTGCTGCAGCCTGTGAGAGTTTCCCGTACCCCCCCCAGCCTCCAGGGGCATGCAGCATTCATGTTTAGTTTAGCGGGGAGCAGAAATGAATGAAATGGCAGGAAAGTAACAGTATCATATGTAAATTTTAGAAGGCTGAGTCACAACACCTGCAAAGGTTGGTTTCTTGGTGTATCCTCTTAATCCGTATCATCACATAACAGAGCTAGGATCTTGATTCAGCAAGGCCATTATGATTGTGTTTAAATCTAATCACAAGAAGATTCCATTAAGGTCCAGGCTCAACCCAACATTGTTAAGCTGCAAGGGTGTCATCCAGATATACTAGCCCCACTAGCACTGAGCTATGAGTTCTATGCTAAGCTTCTCAGAAGTTACATATGAGCTATGCACATCTGGTATCAAGGCCATTGAAATAAACATATCATTTTACAGACAAAGTAACATATTTTTCTTTATAAATACAATATGTGAGTGAATAAAAGCTTCAGTCTAGCAATGCATTTGTAAGTAAATGCTAACTTTAATTCCAAGAGCAGTCTCATGGATTTCAGTGTAACTACTCAGATGCTGAAAATTATGCCTGTAGTATACTTAAGTGTGTACTTCGTAACCAATGATGAAGTGAGATCTCTTGTAAAAAAACCCCCCAAAAAGTCCAGTCAATTTATATGGCTAAATATTTGGCTCCTGAGCTCCAGTATCAAATCCTGGGTTTGAATTATGGGGAAGCTTATGGGGGCTGAGCTCCCGCATAAGAGATGAGAGCCCCCCTGTAAGATTTGAAAATCATAACCTGAGGGCTCTCTGATTTTATTAGGGCATCATGATGGGCAGCCCAATTTTTTTTTTGTAGACCTCCACCAAGAGTCAAAGTGTAATTCAAACCCATGTCCATATCTAAACTCTTGTTCAATAGGGAAAAAGTTCACCTTTATGTAAAACAGGCCTTAAGTGTGAATTAACTGGTCCGTATGCCTTAGGCTGGCCCTGGATGTGGGATGAATTCTACCTTAGGGCTGCATCTACACAAGGCATTTACTGTGGAGTTGACTAATTAGCTCCATAGTAAATGTCTCTCATCTACATATGCAGTGTTATTAAGCAGGAGTAAACTAATTCACTCTGCAGCAGGATAGTACTTACAAATACAAGTACTATCCTGCTGCAGAGTTTTTTACTCTACAGAAACACGTGTAGATGCTGGAGGAGCTGGCTGTGGCATGAGGGTGCTTCAGCGGTGGGGCTGCCTGCTGGCTAGCTCTGCACTGGCGTACTCCTGTGCTCCAGCCAGCCACTTTACAGCATGTTGTGCTGGGATGGAGCAGTGCCAGGCTGGCAGGTTGACTCCCAGAGCCCCCTGCCAGCTAGGGCTACCACAACCTGGTTCAACATGCTGTGTTCCTGGACACCTGTGTAAATGCAGCACCTGGGAATCAATGAACTCTAGTACGATAAGCGTCAGAGTTTATTGTTTCATGTCCTCAGTTGAAAAATGTGGCTTTAAATTGATGCATAAGGAATCAGCCAGAGGCTGCTTTCTATATGGGGTACTCAGCGGTATGGAACCCAATCAGTGCCTTGCAAAGTCACCTGGAGCGACAAAAACAAGTTCAAAATTGAACTCTTAAAAATATTTGCAACTTCCATTCCCACAAGCAATTTTGGATGAGTGAACCCCACAAATAAGAAATATGAGATATTATAACTAAGAACAAGGCTGAATTTGATCACCCTCATCGGGTGTTACCATTTCTCTAGTGGCTTTGATCAGGAGAAGGTTGCTTTGGAAACCTGAGAAACAAAACCCTGAGTTGACACACAAGAAAATCGTAGGGCTGACATTTTGGACTTTGCAGAGGAAAAGGGTTTAGGTAAGTGTTCATTGTCTGGCCCAGGGGACTGGCATTTGCCTCTAGGTCACTGCTTTGCATCCAAACCAAGTTTGTAGTGACTGAAAATTACTACCATCTGATGACTGTTCAGTAACCTTTACAAAATGAATTTCTGGTCTCAGTCTGCTTTCTAGTGGGTCCATCCTAAGTATTGCCTCTTAGAGTTCTTGCCAGCAGGTTCAACTAAAAGACCAAGAATGTACAGAAACATGCTATTTCTTGCTTTATTAAAAACATCTCTTAAAAGCAACTGCATGGCTTCATGGGAAGCCATTTACTTTCGAAAACTCTACGTGTGAGTAACTGCCATTAAAATCTGTCTGCAGCTATGGGGCATTGCATTCTAGCTTGGATACTGTGACCCATTTTATAAATACATTGCAATTAAACTTTGGATCAATAAATACGTTTCTTTTTTTTCCTTTCCAGTCGGTAGTGAATAACAATGTGGCCTGATTGGAAACATGAGACTCTGTCTTTTCATATGTGGTTAGAGACTGAGGACTTATGTGAAATCATCCATGATTGAACTGGATGTTTTAACAGGACAGCCTGGTCCTTTAAGAGGTGGCAGAAAGCCTGAGTAGAGGCCCAACTGTGGGTGAATAGCTACTCAAGGAGTACCTACAGGCAGTTAAAAACCCCAGAGGGAAAGCAGGGAGCTTGAGCTAGGGGAAAGGAACAGTCCACAAGCAGGAGAGGGACTGAAAGATAAGCATCACGCTAAGAAGGACCAGGGAGAGGGCCCTGCTTACTACCTGGAGAAGGGTCATCGGTTTGGTGTGTTAGTTTGTTTGTGTGAGCAAGAACTTTGTCTGCATTTCAAAAGGGCTGGAAGAGGCTTGGGCCAAAGTCAGGCTGCCAGGGGCAGCAGGCTCATTTACAGATGTATAAACCAACCCGCCAAATCCTACCATCTCGTTTATGATGAGATAAACCAACAGGTGGCATGTAGCTGAGGACTCGTGAAAAAACTAGGTCCTGACCACAGATCCCAGATTCCGAGTAGCATTGCTCTCTTGTGATATCTTGACAGGGGTGAAGTTTGAGTAGGGGAAGTTATTGCTGCTCTGAACAACAGTAATTTATACCACCTATGGCCCACAGCTCCCAGCACTACAACACAAGCAGTCTGTTCACTTCACTCCCTTCCATCCAGCAGAACAGCATGAAATGCCATCTCTTGACAAGCCCAATAAAGCTCCCTGAGCAGATCTCAATAGAATCTTGTAAGCTGGCATCCAAGAGTCTGGAGGTTAGCCTCATACACGGGCTAGTCTACAGCATACAGAGACAGACGATGAAGCTTCTCAGGGCAAAAGGATATCACTTCTAGAAGAAAAGAACAATGACCAATGGGTCCTTTTATTTCTCAGGGCCTGACAGTCTCTGAAGTCAGGGTTTAAGACAGGACTGGTTGCTACTTCCTTGTTTTTCTTTCTTCAGTCAAATGTTTCTTTTGAGTATGTGAAAATAATCAGTGGAGTGTGTAAAACCCCCGGGTTTGACCCTTGCTGGGCTTAATGCTTGCTTGTGGTATATATTTCTCAGGCATAACATAAATGTGTAATGGATTAAAGCTTTAATAGTATCCTTTCAGCAGTTGACTTAAGCAGGTGATGACAAGAGGGGCTGGTAATGCTGCTTTTGTTGGATGAAGGAGATCCTTGGCATGCTGCTTATATGTAACCCAATAGCACTATTCTGTTCAGTGTGGTCTTTGGTGGTAATTATTCCCCATCCTACTTCCTCTGTCCCTCTCTCATTTACTGCTGTAATGTCACTCCTACGCTGAGGATGGGCAGGCACTCATTCTGCATTCCCTGCTGAGCCTGCTGCCCTCAATAAATACATTCCATGTTTATGTTCAGGGCTTGTGGCCTGACTCTGCTCCTGTCTTTGGAGAGCATATGAGAGTGCCTGTTCACTAGCTGGTCAGGGGAAAGTATGGTACCTGGATAAAAATTACAGACAATAATTCCTTAGAAATGTAAAGGTGCAATAGAAGGCAAGGTCATAACAGTTACAAGCTGAACACATCATGTTCCTACCCTGTCATTTTATTTATTTATTCCATGGGGAGGTCTCTGTTTTCATTGTTGCCTATAATCCCTTACTGGAAAGGGATTTGGCACTTGTTCATTTCCACTTCCTCATTTGCACTAGAGATCTGCAGTGGAGCAGGTCACATACTGTAAAACAATGTCTGCAGATATTTCTTCCACAGCTGTTCCAGTGTTAGGTTTAGCTTTCCCTCCTTCTTGCTTGCTATTCATAGTCAGTCTTGTGATTTGGGTTTTTGATTACAGCAACATTCAAGAATGGCTGGTTGTCATTCAAGAACATGAACAAGAGCGTGTGAGCATGAACAAGAGCATTTTCCATTGCTGTTTTCCAAACAAGCCTTTTTTGGTGAATTTTTAATAACTACTAAAAATATTCAGAAAGGCCAACTAACAAAGACTCAGGACATTTAATGAAAGAAAAGGGGAAATTAATCAGATACCAAATTGAGAATTCAAATTTCAGAAACAGCTGTGAACACATTATTCCTGTCATCAGCAAACCATGTAGCAACAATATAAAATGCTTCAAAATTGAACAAGGAAATCTAAAGTTCAAACCTGGGTGCATGAGAACTTTTAATTAGTCACTGACACTGATTACACCTTTTTTGATCTATGGCAGATAAAGGTTTACATCCTGATGCCCTCCAGCAGTGGTTCCTAATCATCACTGATCAATGAGTAAGGCTACAATTTTGGTACAGTAAGTTTTAGTGAATTTCATGGCAGAGGTCTGGAGAAAAGGTCACAGAATCATGTTTCCTGCATGCTTACAAGAGCTGGACAGTAGTTTCACTGATTGCATTTCTCTACTACAATGCATTGCTTTATGGGCATGGTAGTTTGAAGAGCTAATAACTCCATTCTTTCTTATAGGCCAACATCTTTGACTGAACTGCCTCGCCCCTGATCCTATATGTTCTTCCATCTGACTGAGTGGCAAGGTGCATCATGCAAGTCAGAGGGCTTCCTCATTTTTACAGTCCCATTGATCCATGATTGCTTTGACATAATCATAGCCTTACCCATGAACAACAATACTGAGCCAGTTGTACTTTGCTCTCTGTCAACCTGAAGAAGTGTATTATCTGTAGAAGCAAAATTTCTTATGTCCATAACCAGTATCAGAGGGTCTCAGGGGCCACTGATTGGGGTCACTGCTTTATTAATCACTTCTCTTGTGTCACACATGCTCACTAGGCATGGGCGACTGGTGCTGCCTTAGTCAGGGGGGGCACATGATGGGGATCTCCCCCTTGGCCAATCTTGCCAACCCCCCTTGGCCAATCTTGCCGACCCTGTGGCCGATTGTAAGATGGCTGATCATTGCAGCCACTTCTGGAAGCGGCTGCAGCCACTTCTGGGAGTGCCACAGTGCTCCACTCCTTGGCCGGCGCTTGCAGGGGGGCACCGGTGCTCCTGCCTGCCCTGCCTACCTATCGCCTAAGTGGCAAGTGCGGCCAGTCAGGGGCTACACCGGCACTCTCAGGGGGTGCACGTGCACCCCCATGCATCCCTTACATGTTGCCACCACCACTAGGACCTAATCTTACAATTCACTCTGCAATTAACCTTTGCACCTATGCCAAACAGAAATACAATATTACAGAACAGTCATAGAATTCTTTACTTCAGGGGTGCTCAGCCTTCAGCCAAAGTGATTGTATCTGGCCCACAGGGCTCTCCCCAGGGCCAGGAATTTGGTGGTGGGGGAGTGTGGCCATTAATACAGCCACCCTGCCCCCTGCCAAATTCCTGAACCCCAGGCCCCGTGCACTCTTTTCCCCCTGTGGGGTTAGGCCATGCTCCATCTCCTCCTCCTGCCCTGAGGCTGGGCCATGACCCCTTTCCCCCAGGGGGCTGTGTTGGGGCCAGGTCATGCCCCTTTCCCCTCCCCCTGGGGCCAGGTCACATCCTGCCCCTAGATAGAGCTGCAGAGCTGGGCTCAGGCTGGACTGCTCCCTGCCCTGCTCCTTGTGGCTGGATGGTGGCCACCATGCTGGCCCTGGACATGGGATCAGAATTACTATCTGGCCCGCAGTTGGACCAGGCACTGCCAGAGAAAAAGGGCGAGCACAGTTGCTTTACTTAAATGTATCGATGGGACCATTTTACTCCTCTTCAGCTCACTTTTCACACATCTTTAAATGTTACATAACATCCAAGGCAGGAAGGAATGAAGCCCCCACACTCTAAGACCTGAGCCTCATTATAGTTTAAAAAGTTACACGGCACACCCTTTAATACTACCCACAGCTTTACTGTGTAGCAGAGACTTCAGTGCTCAAATCTGCATAAATGCTTGCTCTAAAATATGAAACATGCATCTATAATGAAACCATCTGGGAATGTATTTCTGCAATTACACAAACAAGGCCTACATCTGGACAGCATGAACATTCCCAAGAGATGCTGAGTTCCCTCAGCTTGAAATAACTGAAATATAGGTTAAGAGCTCTCATACCTTGCAGGAGTGAACCCCCAAGAAATATTCTCCTTTTTGTGAATCAGAATTTTACTAATTTCAGTATTACTGTAAATTCAAAGATCTTACAATCTTCCTTCCCCCCAGATAAAATAATCTAGTCATACAATGATGTGTATAATAATAATAATACTCATATTTTTTTCTATATGCAGTGAAACTTTATGCTTTAACCAGTAAAGTGATCAATGGGGAGATGCAGTTCTATGCCAGAGCCAAACATTTCTACCAAGATGTGCCAGCAACAGAAGAGGGCATGATGGGAGATTATATCGAGCTGTCCAATATAGACATTGAATCCTCCAGGGAATTTCTTAGAAAGTTTGTTGGGGTGAGTCATCCAATCCTATCTTTTGCAAGAAGCAATCCATGTCACAATTTACATGGATTGTCTCATGTCTTTCTTAGGACTTGATCCTGCCAAGATGGCCATGTGGTTTCCTGCCCTTGCACAGAGCCCCAGACTTCCATATGGAGGTGCAGGCTTACTTCTCTTTGTAGGATTAGCTTGAGGTATACAGAAAATACCACTGGCTTTGGTGGGAGTTTTGCTTCCGTACATACTATGGTGTCAGGCCCATTCTGATTGGGAAAGCAGAAAATGATAGGCCTGATTCTAGCTAATGGTCCTTCTAGACTCATGTCATGCCTGCTTTTTGCAGATCCCATTTCTAAATATTTCTGAGGAAGGTGTAAGAAACCCTAAGTTAGGCAAATACAGAGTAACCTGCTCAGAATTAAACTTTCCTAACCTTAATCATTTAGAACCCATTTGTACTGGTATTTAGACAATGTGGATAAGTACCTAGTATGGTTTTAAACAGAAGTCAATTTAGTACTTTTAAATCATTATAGTTTTGGTGAGAAGCTGTATGATCTATATGATTGCTCATAACCTTGTAAGACAGAAACTCCTATGCTGTAATTCCTGCTTTACCAAGGATTTGCTGAATGGATTCGGAGGAATCACACGATCTCAATGGGCCAAATGCTAGATTTTACTTCACCCTATGCAAACTTGTTGAAATCAGGCATTATTGAGAGCGCTGTCTCTTTTTTCCTGCATCTGTAATAAAAAGGTAACATCATATTCATTCTTATCTCCAAGGATGTCATGGAAAAAATTAGTCAATGTCTGTGCAATACTTGAAAAAAGTGCAAACATGATTGCTTTTTCTTCAAAGAGACTAGAAGCGCTGCCAGGAAGGGGATGTTCACAAGAGCTTAAATTTATTCATGTGCCTAGAGCCAGCCGAAAGCTTGCCCATCACTGAAATCCCAATTAAGCCCTGCTATAAGGATGTAAGTGAGACTCAAGTAGTACATAATCCTATGCTGGTCCTTTCTGGACACAGTACAGATTCACAGGTTTCTGAGCAGCAAGCTGATATCACACTGTTAATTGCTGTTCTCTCTGAAACTTGAAACAGAAAGTAAGGTCTGTGTCAGTGCTTCTACATGGCAAAGAGAAATCATATCCAATGCATGAGACAAATTGACAGCTACAAAATACTGAAGATCAGAGTTCTTATTTCTATTTTTAACCCAGTCTCTTTGACACACTTTTCCCACAGAACATTATGTGATTATCAGAACATTGATTATCATCAGTGACATCCTGATAGAACCAAGACAGAAAGAAATGGGAACATTCAGGGTTTGTTAATTCTGATCAGGTCTGGATGAACCTATTCTCTGTTCATGTGCGGTTCACTAATTATGTTGGTTATTGCATGCAGGTTTATACTTTTTTTCTACTTACTGCAAAGTGAATTGAACCCACACAGATACAAAATCATTTATTTGGTATGTATATGCCTTTAATGCAGAATTTCGGGGGGGTTTTCAACAGAATTTGAAGTTGAAAAGTTTTGTTTTGGGTCAACCTCAAATATTTTCTTTAATCTAAGATAAAGTATCTTAAGGATGTCCCATTTCCTCCACCCACCCCACATTTAAATGAAGAGTTAAAAAGTTAAGTTGAAAGAATTAAAAATGAAATATTTGGCAGCAGGGCAGGGTGGCAGTGTTAACTGTCACTGCTCCCCCACCTACCATTTGGGCATTTAAACATTTTTTTCCTACTTTTTAGTCAACATTTTTCACCAAATTCAACCTGATTTGACACACAGGTTTGATCTCCAGCAAACTCAATTTTTTGACAAAATTTGCAATCACAAAAATAATCTAACCTCGGCTCTACTGAAGTTATTCTTCTGAACTTAGCCTATATCAACTGAGGACTGCCACACTTGGAAATAAACCTCAAGCGATTGTGTCCACAGCAGCATTGCATTCCCCTGAATGTGGCACTGAGACTTATGGGGGAACATTCCATGATTTCTAATGCAATAAGAACCATGATTCTTTCCCAGTGAACTATAGCAGAACATATCCTGTCCAGGCACATGGAGGAAATTATGGGGAAGTGCTGGAAGACAACCAACTCATTTATGTTTTAGCCTATAACTTCCTTGTCAGACTAGCCCACTCAAATTAAAAGCATTTCTATGCTTGAATTAAGGAGTTTTGTATGTGAACTGTGCTCAAATTAGGGGAAACGCTTGAGTTAAGATATCAGTTAACTTTGAAGTGAGGACAAGCTCCAAGTTGTCCTTGGTTTGACTTGCTCTTAAAAGTATTATTGGCATAACCATATCAGGAAGGGGTATTTTTGGCTATATCAGTAAAAGCCATAATGTAGTTGCAATTATATTGGGGGTAACACTTTTGTCAGAATTTGTTGGCAGTAAAAAAAATTATTTCATTTCAGTGTCCTTGATGAGCAACATTTCCTCACCCACAAATACTGAGACCAAGGATTTAAAAGGGTGGTCACCAACCAGTGGATCTTGATCCACTGATAGATCTTGGAACCTCTTGCGGTAGAACTCAGAGCCTCTTGGAGTCAATCCTAGGCTGGGGTGGGGGGGTTGAGTGCCCGCATGCATGCATGCATGCGCCCCAGCCCAGGAGGTCAGTCTGTTGGGGAGGGAGGGGGTGGAGCTAGATTGAGGCCCCTGTGATGAGGGACAGTGCTGCAGAGGCAGGGGTAACTTGAGTGGGGCCTTTGCTGGGTGGAACTTACCTGCTGGGGAGATGAACCCCAAATAATTTTTTCTCCCTCCATCCCTCGATCTGCCCCTGCCTTCCTTCCCCACAGACTTACCTGCGGCCGGGGCGGGGGTGATCTTTCACTTAAAAAGGTTGGAGACCACTGATTTAAAACAATGGGAACATTATTTGGAAAAAAGAAAGAGAGAGAGAGAGAGAAAGGACATGCATAATTAGCTAAGGAAAACCAACACTCTATAAGTTAACTATATTAGGTGACACCTCTTCCCTGCCCCAGGGTATCTTGGCAAAACTCCTAACCTAAGTCCTCCCCTTACAGTTGTGAGTGACAGATGAGTCAGTGAGCCAACCCTCCCTTCCTCTCCTTGCTTAAGTCCTACTCACAGTTCATTGTCCACAGTTGGCAGAGTCCAGCATTTTGGCAGGTCCATTTCTCACCTGCCAGGGCTGTGTGCTCCAGTGCTTCTACCACTTACTCTTACTGAAGTGACTGCATCGCTGAAGCGGGTAGAGAGGTCCTTAGTCTCCCTCAATTAGGCTGCTGCACTTTGCAGCTTCAGCCCAAGAAATCTCAATTTTATTTGCCACTTCAACACTGCCTTCATGCCATTTCACCTCTGAAGCTGCCTCTGTACTATCTCAGTCTTCAAAGATTGAGAAGAACCTCACAGTCCTTGCCAGACAGAATAAGGTTCAGGAGGTATGCATCGCCCCCCCTCCCCCACGGCTCTCCTGCCCCACTATTCTGCAGTGCAGCCACATGAAATGCACTGCTTTTTTTCATCCAATTGCAGACAGCATTTTACTATTCCTGGATTCAAAACAATGGTATTTTAACAGAAACACTCCAAACTACCATGTAACAGAAGTGCAAATGGGACCTGGCCCACAGCCCTTTTTCCTCCTTCGCATGTGGCTATAAAAAAGAGGCCCTCAGCTGTGTCCATTTAGACTTCTCAGGTAGCTCTGAGCCTTGTTTTCTCATGTTCAATGGTATCATCAGTGAGCTTCCTTCTTTTTTACACTTCAGGCCCTACAGCCTGTACTGACCTAATTGGTATATGATTTATCCTTGTGTTGCTTATTTTACTACCTTGGCCTGGGACAAACTATCCTGGTAAAAGTTCTTTTATGTCAGGATAACTGGATAAATTGTGCCTCTTCAATTATTCCTGCATAGTTAAACCAGCAAAACTTTAAGGTGTAGATAGGTCTTAACTGCAGGGCAGGATGGCTGTATACATGGGATATATTAATCCTCAATGTTAGAAGGTTCAGAGCATTTTGAATTGGAGCAGTGAAAAACAATGTAGTGAAAGACCTACTAGGTCACCTAGCACATTCTCCAGGGAAGAATGAAAGAAGCTCAAATCCAGAAGAGACAACAGGTCTTGAACAGTTTTGCAATAGATTTTGCTTGGCCAGCCTGAACATCTTGAAGCCACAGTATGTACGCCCCTCCAGGCTTTCTGCATCTGGAATGTCTGAATACAGTGTTAATGTGCATTCATAGGCTCATTTGTAAGGTATCTGTGATGCCTAATTTGTGGGCTCAGGTGTGCATGAGATGTGAATAGGAGGAGCTAATTTCTTGGCAGTAGGCCCAAGCTTGTCTCAGAGACCATATGGACATAGTCATAGCTGTTATATTGGTTATAATTGCAGCATAGCTTAGGAAACACTTCAAATAGGGCTAGCTAAACCAGCCATTACAAATATTGGTAATAACATTCTTCCTTTTACATTACAGGTAAGATTATCTCTTACCAGACACCTGTAGCCTCTAGTGTTTGCATTTTTGTGCTGATTTGCTCTTATGTATAACACAGCCTTCTTTTAATACCCTAAGAGGGCAAGGGGGAAGGATACTTTGTGTCCAAAAGCTTGTCTAATACTTCTCCAAACTATACAAATAAAACCCGTGGGTGACTGTAGATGTGCAGGAACACTGCTCCAAAGTGCTGTAATTACAGTGTGTCAGAGCAGCCTCCATGTCTCATGTATTCAGCATCCCTGCACTTCAAAACAGTGGCAGGGGCACTTTAACTAAAGTTTGTCAAATGAGCTTTAGTTAAAGTGCCTCTGCTGCCATTTTGAAGTGTGGGACCCTGAATACACAAGACACTGTGGGTGCTTTAATTAGAGCAGATCTAAGAGATGCTTTAATTAAAACACCCCACCCCCAGAGCATGTGTAAAGATGCCCCTTGTTTGAGGCTAAGATGTGAGATCTGTTGGGTGGGGGGTTGTAGCATTTGACTGCTGTGCTGCTGTGCCCTACACAAGGGCATACGGCACCTGAAGTCTCATGAGGTACTAGGGTGCTATTTTGATTTGATTGAAATGTTTTCCTTTAAAAATATGCTATTTTCCAACCAGCTCTACCTCCAGCTTTTCACTGTTGCCCCCAAGGCAGTTCTAACCTCTTCCTTCTGCTGAATTGCCATGGAAATTCATCTCAGAGTGGACTGAGTCAGCTCCTTGCCTGGGTTGGCAAGGATGATTCCTCCTCACAAATGATTCCTTATAAAAGCACAAACGTCCTGAGTCTATACTATGAGCTCCTAGTAGATAGCATATGAATGAATAATAATGGTTAATGTTCTTGGCTAATTAGGACTGTTTTTGAACAGGCACTCTCCAGAGGCAGCTGGAGATGGGGACTCATGCACTTTTGGAAACAAGGAGAGATTAATCTCCCTAATTGTACAGACTGGAACCAGTAGAGTGGCTAGTGGCAAGTGAGATCTTTCTGTGCCCTTGTATACATTCAGCAGTTACTACACATAACTAGAAGCATGCCAGGATATTTATAGCAATGATTTATCATTTGACTATCATTTGACCTTAATAATTTGCTGAATTAATCATCGAAGAAGTGCCAAGGAAGCAATGATATACAGACCTCTGACATGATCTATTTTCAGCTATGTTGGAGTGGGTTATCTAATAAGTAGAAAGAGCCAAATTCTTCCTGAATGTATCTCCTCCACAAGCAGTGATTTTGCAGCAAAGAAGGTAGCCCATAGCTTTCATATCAACCCTCAGTTAAATGGAACAGAGAAGGTGTTTATATTTGCCCTTAATGTGTTTTCTTTAACAGATAAATTAGGCTGGGGAAGCTCCAAACACACAGTTGATGCCTGTACAATGTTAAAATTCCTGTTTTACAACTGAGCAGCAGGCTCCTAAGAGCCTTTTTATAGCTAGATTAGAAGTTCCTGCTAAAGTTAAGGGTGAGATATAACTTCCATTATAAAGATCCTTTTTCAGTGGCTCATTATTTTCTCATAAAATTTCCTTAGGGGCTGCAATTTTTCATGCCTGATCTCTGTACTGAGAATTATTTTTTTAATGCCTGGAAAAATAATCCATTTGGCTTCGATCTAAATTTTAGTTCTGTTGAGCTCAAGCATGCCTATATTGACTTCATTCAGACACAGCTCCTTTGGAACATCTCACTGAGATCTAAAGAGCATGGTCTTTTGGAATACCAGCTCTTCAAAGACAGTTCTCAGGTTGGGGACTCAGTGCATGCTGTTTTCTTCGTTAAGACTTAATTGTATTTAGTCAGTGGGGCATGAGTCTAGCTTTGTGACTAGTTGGTTTGGGTTGATGTGCAGAGGTGAACAGCTGGCAACTGAATTTACAAGGATTCTACAAGATAGGTGAACTTTCTAGGAAGACGAGGAACTTGGAAGAAGATTATGCTGATCTTTGTGTTGGGCAAAAGGCTGCTATTAAGAGTGTTTTGGGCATACATTTTTAAATTGTCATGTTTATATGGGTGTATTCTAGAAATTTGGAGGGAAATCCAGTAGAAATCATATAAAGGACTTTTCTACTTAAAAATGTATTTCATAGATAATAGTAAACATGTATAGAGCACCTTTCAATCCAAAACACTGTAAACTACATACAGTGCCAGCTCTGGACTTTACAGGGACCTTGTCGGAGGCTAAGGCCAGGGTCTTTCCTCTTGTCCATTCACATGCTGAATGACTTTCACTGGTATTCTGTAGATATGACCCAATTTAATGCAGTGGGGCCCTGTATAGGCCCCAGAAAACTGCCCTGGTTGCTTTCTCTGGTATCATCTCTGCATGTATATTGGAGTTACTTTCCTCACTATTGACATGTGTCCACTCTGGTATGGAATTTGGCAGCTGCTAAGAGATGAGCACAGGTCTATGACTCAGGAGGTTCTGAGCTCCATACATTTCTTAGTAACTGTTGTAATATTTTTCACTTTTCACATATTAATGTCTCACTGTATTTCTATGATAAGCCAGGGGTGCTCAAGCTCTGGTCCACAGGCCAGATGCAGTCCTCAGGGCCATTGGTGTGGGGCTCCTCACAGGCTGTGAAATGTGGTGGTGCGGGAGCAGTGACAGTTAACACTGCCACCCTGCTCTGCTGCCAAATCTCTAAACCCCAAGCCCCATGGGGCCAACTGGAGTCAAGCAGCTCTCCCTTCCCCCTGCGTCTGGATCTGGGATGGGCCATATCCCTTTACCCTCTCCTTCCCTACGACCCCTGGCTAGATTGGGGGTGGGCCATCCCCCCTTCCCTCCCCTCCTCCTGCCAGGCCAGATTGGGGTGGGGCCATGGCCTTACCCCAGCATGGTGCTGGGGTGGGGCTGGGTCATGTCCTCCCCCTCATGCAGCTAAATGGTGCCTACTGCACCCATCCTGTGGTGCCAGATCAGGACCATGGGATCTGACCCATGTATGCACTAGGCATTGTCCATCTGGACCAGTGGGGAAAAAGGCTGAAAGGTTCAGCCAAACTGGAGAATGTGGGAGACAATAGGTACCCCACCCTGAATATTTTACTATCCTGTCAATGGTCTTTGCAGTCAGAATTGTGTTAGCTAGCTCAGTTCTTCACAATCATGCCTGAATTAAATAAAATGTTGTTAGCCAAAGCTTTATTGTTAGTTCAGGGCCTCTTCCCCCAGAATGCTTTGAACTCACGGTAAATTCTATCCAGGAAATTTAACAGTAGTTGAACTATTGAGACCCTTGTATTAATTGCTGTGTCATGACCTCAGCACTAAGGGCAAGACATAGCAAAAAGACTGAAGGATGATATACAAGCATTACTGAAGCTTGTTCAGAATAAGATAAGAAAGATGTGTGGATGGCTCCAGAGTTTGCCCACCATTTGGGATGCTCGATAAGATAAGGAGAGAAATGCATAGAATGCAAGAAGGTTCCAGACGCAGTAAACAAATGAAGTGTAAATATGGGTATGTTAGAGCACACACTGAGCTTGCCCCCCTCCACCATTTTGCTGCAGCTGTACAGCACACCATTCCTTGGACAGATAATGTATAACTCCATGCCTTGCTGATTGGCTGTGGTCCTTACATGGTCCTAACTAATGAACTAATTGAGCTGGGTTGGCTGGTCTCCAGAGCTTGTCTTAAAAGCAGCAAAGAGTCAGCAATGCTATAATGGAAACAAGTACCTTAAAGAGCCATTCCAAATTAAGAAAATTGAGTTTAGTACAAATTGAATAAGTCCTTTCTTTTTACCCTTTAACCTTTCTATAATATCTTACATGCCAAATCATCTAAATATGGACAATCTATGCAGCTCACTGCTTTTGGAGATCAGAGTTAAAAATGTGGATGGATGATCTGATGGTTGGTAATACTGTTTTTAGTTTTACACATGAAATGTAATCCAGTCTTGTGCATCAGACTCCAATCTTGTGTATCCTGTCATAGGATTTCAGAAAGAGATAGGAGAGACTGCCTATCACTGCTGATGCTGACTATGTTGATCCCATAGGGCATTGCCAAACTGACAACGTGCATAAGGAGGAGTTTCCTTGTCAGAATAAAATGTTTGCTAATCATGGGACACATCTACATGTGTGGTGAACTGTGCAGTTGTTACTGCACAGTCATTTAGTACTTGCATAAGTACTAAATGAATGTGCAGTAATGGATGTTACTACATAATAACATCGCTGCACAGTTTTTTCCCAACACTATGGCACAGTGGCAATGAGCTACTGAAAAGTAGCTCATTGCTTCTGTGCCATAGGATTGCATCACAGTTAGTGCCTGGCAACACTTCTGCATGATAGCAATGAGCTCGTTGGTACTATGCCATTGTGTCTCATGTAAATGGGCTCCTGGAGGCCAAGTACTAGACTTCAAGGATGAAAAGCCTAAACTGCTTAGCAATTCCTTAGGTCATTCAGGTGGTGCTAGACCTACCTTTCAATTAGTTTTTTTATGCTTTACAGGGACCTGGGAAAGCTGGCACTGACTGTGCCTTAGACTGCGGGTCTGGGATTGGAAGGGTCAGTAAGCATGTCCTTTTGCCAGTTTTCAAGAGTGTGGATCTGGTAGATATGATGGAGAACTTCTTGGATGCAGCCCAGAACTATCTGCAGAGAGAAGGAGACAAAGTAGAGATGTGCTATTGCTACAGTCTCCAGGAATTCACACCAGCCCCCCAAAGATACGATGTCATCTGGATTCAGTGGGTTTCAGGTTAGTTCAACATTAGCCATATATCTGTGAATACATATCCATAATTCACAGCTATATTGCATTAAAATGCATCTTCTAAGAATGTTGTGGTTGCAAATTATGCAAAATGTGGAAATTCTAGATTTAAAAGTGCCTCTGTTTGGGTTTCCAAAGAAGGTGACATTTAGAGCACAGGAAAGAGATTTTTCCTTTTGGAACTATGCCCTGACATGCCAGAAGCTCTCAGTTGCCAAGAGAGGTAATTGCTGGGAAAGGACTCTTTGGTTCTGCAGCCCTGGACTGAGGCATGCGTGCTCAGTAAATTTGGGGATGGCATCTGCTTGGTTGGCCATCATATGGAAGCTCTTTGAGGATGGAGTATGCTCCATGCAAATGGACTCTTTAGAGAATTTAGTTGCTAAACAAATTTCTGCTGAGGATGTTAAAAATGAGATCTTTCAAAAACTTTTCCCATATATACATCATCCAGTTACCCCTGTACTGTGTCCCATAACTTGTACTTGTCTAAACCGTATCTTCTAGTCTTGATTGAATTACACCATGAAATGGAGAATCTGCCATTTCCTTTGGGCAGCTGTTTCAATGGTTTATTACTCTTATTGCTAAAAATTTGTACCTTATTTCCAATTTGAATTTATCCCACTTCTATTTCTAGCCACTGATTCTTGTTTTGCCTTTTGCTGCTAGAAGAAAAATCCCTTTAATATGCAGTACTTTTGCATTGTGGAGGCAGTTGTAATTAGTAGAAATGGGAATCCATGACTTCTGTTGACTTTAATCCATGTTTATTACTATGTAGAGGTCTAAATACGGACTTAAGTCTGAAGGCATGTACTTGAGCGATTTTAACAGTGTTTTACAGCAAGGGGTGTGGCAGCAACAGGAATAGACTACAGTAATCTATAAATAGTTCCAGTCCTCTGTTGTAATGATTAGAATCACTTACCTCAATGAATAGATTATGAAAAAGCAGATAATCAAGACCTAGCTCAGCTAGGATCAGCCAGGTCCTGTCTAAATAGTTAACAATGACATTTTCTGTCTCTTTGCTTCTAGGAAATCTGACAGATAGAGATCTTCTGGAGTTTCTTATCCGGTGCCAAAATGGCTTGAAGGATAATGGTGTTATCATACTCAAGGACAATGTGGCCCGAGAGGGCTGTATCCTGGACCCTCTGGACAGCAGTGTGATCCGAAACCTAAACATCCTCCGGAGCCTCATTGAAAAGAGTGGACTTATCATCTTGCAGGAGGACAAGCAAGAGGGCTTCCCTGAGCAGTGTGTCCCTGTCTGGATGATGGCCATGCAAAAAGACCTCAGCCATTCCTGGGGTGGGCTCAGGAAAGCCTGAAATATGACCAAAACTTGGGACTTACAATGAGAAAGAAAGAAGAGGAAGTATCTACTAACACTTTATTAACAGTGCGCCACTAACTGGAGTAGTTTGTCTCAGTGTGATCAGTAGAGTAACTGCACCTGAGTCAGGACATCAAGGCATTATATTATATCCTCTCTCAAAAGCCCTCCTCTCTGCAAAATGACTACCTTAGTTAATCGGATAGGCATGAGAAAAAACTCATCTATTAGCAAATAAGTAATCCAGGAGTTTTCAAAGAAATTAAGTAATTTTCAGGATCCTAATTTGAGATACTGCAAAGAACCCTCAGGGTGGATGCTCAGCACTCCATGAAAATTAGTGACCTTTAAGATTAAGATGCCTGAATTTGGAATACAAACTACTTTATCCCTGAAAATTTGGGTCTAAATTTTGGCTTGTGTTCCTAATGATATCTTAAAATGATTTAAATTGAAAAATTAAGGCAAGTCTCATGTTTGTTTTCAGTTACACTGCTTGTTTGTATATTTTTTTGTGCATTTAAATCAGTTAATACAGCACATCTTGTTAGTTTCACTTATTCCATTAATGAGTTTCACTTCCTGGATCCCCTGCTCTAGAATGATACTGCTATATTATGATTCTTAATGTTCCATGGGGAAATTTAAATAAAAAAATATACATGTTCACACTGAAATGTTGTGAAAATCTTTCTGTGCATATTAAGTTGCAGAAAATAGTCTTCTAAAAACAAAAATCTAATGTTCACAGCAGAAACCACTTGAAAGAGCCTCTTTACCATTCATACCGCCATAAATGTATTTCTTTCCCACATTCAAAACAAGTCTGCCACCATATGCAGAGCTAATGGGATTTCATGGAGTGTTAACAGTGAGACTATAAGATGAACTAATACAATATTGCATTAATTAACAGTCATAAAACTGTGGCGAGTGTTAGTGTAAACCAAAGCATCTATAATTTATGTGTAAATGGCAGATGGCTTAGCTTGGGTTTGATGTTATTAGCACTCACACATGCCCTCACCATAAGGCTATGCAATCTTGCTCCATTCACACACACTCAAATAGAGCTGTGTGAGGAATGATCTATTTCATGAAGGATTCCAAGGGTTCAAAATGTTGCTTTATTCAGAATGAGAACAAAAATATTGTAGATAATCTCTAGGAAGCAAAACTTCAAAATCAGCTCGATTAAAATGTTTTGTTTTGACAAGAATCAAAGCTAAAAACAAAAAAATCATTTCAAAATAAAAAATTAAACAAAACCAAACATATCATGAATATGCAAGTCAAAACACTTCTACCTTGGCAAAACTTTTTTCTTAGTTTTTTTTCCTGAAATGAAATTCTGATAAAAGTCAACCACATTTTGTGAAATGTTTCACTTTTTACAAAACATCATATTCGGGTGGGATATGGTTCTATCACAGTTTCTCCAGGTAGCCCAATATGCAGTTATGTCTGTTAAATATTAATGTGAGACAGATTAACCTATGTAATACCTTGATGCCAGTACACTCATCTGTATTCCTTTGAGTGTGTGCTCATTCAGATGTATTTTTTACTGTATGTAATTCTTCCATAATTTTTAACTTGCCAGTTGTAGAACTATTATTATCTTTGTTGAGTACTCAAAGTCTGTACAGAATGGTTTTTACCAATCAGTTCTTAACAATAATTATGCTCTTAGTGAGCAGTTCCTGCTAATTCTGGCTTTAAGGGAAACAGCCCTGGTGCTTGGGTGACTATTCTTGAATATTATGTGACTTCCAGAATCTTACATGACATAGATTCTTGTAGATCACGTGGCAAAAGAACCAGATTCTAGAGCCAAAGAGCCAGATGACACGGATGCTTCTGGAAAGTATTGGCAAAGTCTTCCCTTTTAGTCAACTGGTGACAGAAGATTAACCTAGAGACTCATAGAATGTTCTAAAAAAGCCTAACTGAATAGTCATGTTTGGAGGAATCGCCTCCAGAGCTGAAAGGATACAAAGATCCTGGAGGCCAAATACTACACTTCAAGGATGAAAAGCCTAAACTGCTTAGTAATTCCTTAGGTCATTCAGGTGGTGTTAGACCTACCTTTCAATTAGTTTTTCTATGCTTTACAGGGACCTGGGAAAGCTGGCACTGACTGTGCCTTAGACTGCGGGTCTGGGATTGGCCGGGTCAGTAAGCATGTCTTCTTGCCAGTTTTCAAGAGTGTGGATCTGGTAGGTATGATGGAGAACTTCTTGGATGCAGCCCAGAACTATCTGCAGAGAGAAGGAGACAAAGTAGAGATGTACTATTGCTAGTCTCCAGGAATTCACACCAGCACCTTAAAGATATGATATCATCTGGATTCAGTGGGTTTCAGGTTAGTTCAACATTAGCCATATATCTGTGAATACATATCCATAATTCACAGCTATATTGCATTAAAATGCATCTTCTAAGAATGTTGCGGTTGCAAGTTATGCAAAATGTGGAAATTCTAGATTTAAAAGTGCCTCTTCTTGGGTTTCCAAAGAAGGTGACATTAAGAGCACAGGAAAGAGATTTTTCCATGAAACTTTAATTCTGTCAAGGCTGTTCATAAGGGTACCAGCTCTAGTGACTGGTTATGTATTTAGGTATGTAGACACCTGTAAGAAGCCCATCAACTTATGTTACATGAGCCCTGAAGGAGGCATTGGTCATGTGCTACCATCTTCTGTTGCCAATAAAAGGGGAATATTTAAAGAATCTAATGTGCAAACCAATATTATTTTCCCTGTTTTCTCCAAGTAATAGTAATCCTCCTCTTGTGCAGAATGTTTGGTCAGTGCTGGAATTTCCAGTGGGGGTTATGTCTGTGGGATACATGGCTGAGAGGTATGAGATTCCTGGACCTCTGGGAGAAGCATTATGTCGAAGAAAGAAAACAATTAAAAATATAAATCAGAACAGTTGTGAGGTACCAATGAATAGCAGCTGCCAAATTCCATACCAGAGTGGACACATGTCAATAGTGAGGAAAGTAACTCCAATATACATACAGAGATGATACCGGAGAAAGTAACTAGGGCAGTTTTCTGGGGCCTATACAGGGCCCCACTGAATTAAATTGGGTCATATCTACAGAATATCAGTGCAAGCCATCCAGCACGTGAATGGACAAGAGGAAAGACCCTGGCCTTAGCCTCCGACAAGGTCCCTGTAAAGTCCAGAGCTGGCACTGTATGTAGTTTACAGTGTTTTGGATTGAAAGGTGCTCTATACATGTTTACTATTATCTATGAAATACATTTTTAAGTAGAAAAGTCCTTTATATGATTTCTACTGGATTTCCCTCCAAATTTCTAGAATACACCCATATAAACATGACAATTTAAAAATGTATGGCCTTAGAGATGTATGTACTTCCTTCAATAAGATGAGGACAGTCTTAATTTAGGAGAAAACACTATATTTTCTGGTTTTCATCCTCCTGGAAAATGCCATTTTACTTTCACAGTAAAAATATTCAAGCTCTTTCTGGAGACATAATGAACCAGGAGAGCAAAAATACACAAGTTCCAGAAAGTTTTAGATGCACAAGATGGGAGCGTCCACACATGTAGGCACGTGCGCTTGCAGCAGCTCAAGTAGAAGCGGTGCAAATTTGAGCCAGGGCTTTTTGCCTCAGCACACGTACCTGGACATTGCATTTTGTTGTATGGCAAATTGTACCACTTGGGGCAAAATAACCCTGCCTGGCTCCTTCCAGATCTGCAGCCAGGGGTAGCTAGAGGCTGGGGCCAGCACTTGTGCTGGCCCCAGCAGTACAAAAAGCTGCCCTGGCAAGTTGCTCAGGGCCATTCACTCTCAGGAGCTTCTGGGGTGTCCCAAGAATTTAGTTGTTCCATTCATCCATTAGCCCCCATAAAAAGGGGATACTAGTTAGCTAGGTGGGTTTTGCCCATGGTAATCGGATGTACAAATAGACAGGAGCTTCTGGAGCCTGGCCAGTTGGTACCTGGGAACACTATTCCTTGTGCCAGCTGGACTGCTGAAGCAGCCGTGACAGTTCCCTGTACCCTCTACCCACTGCAGCAGTCTCGCAGTGGGAGCTGCTGCTTGGCTGTGACCTGCTGCCACCTGTGATAACATGTGGCCCCAAGGCTGCATGCCTGCCAGACATGGATGGGGACTGACCGGCCC